TCGCACGTGCGCTTGGACACACGTGTGCACGTGTGAGTGTGCGTGAGGGCACGCTCGCACGTGTGAGTACGTGTGGGGCACGCTTGCACGTGCGCTTGGACACACGTGTGCACGTGGGAGTGTGCGTAGGGCATGCTCGCATGTGTGTGTCATGCGTTACGTGTGTGAACCCGATGGGAACCGGCGGTTCCACTCTAGAATCGAGCGATTCCCGGATTTTTGTTGGAACCGGCACGGGCACGCGTATTTCCGAGTCGAACCGAGCGAGTCCGGTTCGACTCGCCGTTTTTTAAAACACTGACTAGGATAATTGGTTCTACTAACCGACAGTTCACTAACAAAATCGGACGAGTCGATCCGGGTTCTACTAACCGACAGTTCACTAACAAAATCGGACGAGTCGATCCTCCAATCGAATCGAACTCTGGTTTTGTAAAGGAACCTTGCCAATCTCGATTCGAATCAACTATTCTCAATTCGAATTTGTGTTTTTAAAAATAATGGGCAAAACCAGTTGTTTAAAAACAGATCGGTGAATCGGTGATCCAGATTGAAAATCGACCGAATTGATCGAATTAAGCTTTAAAAAAAATCTAAAAAAATATTCAAATTCATTATAAATGCTGTTTTTTATAAATCCAATAAAAAATCGATGTACTATATTATTAACTTTCATTTTTTTTCATCAATATGTGAATATTGAGATGTTTTTTCCCTGGATGAAATTATTTTAACCATTAGATTTACATCACACAAAAGAAAAATTATAGAATTATCAAGTGCATAATCATACATGGACTACAATAAAGAATGGTTTGAATCGATGAAAAATAGCCACCAAACTCTCGAATTGACGGAGAACCTTAATCCGTTAAAAAAAAAAAACCCCCAAGTTATTACAATCTTAATAGAGTTTTGATGTTTTATTTGGGTAGGTAAATTTAAAAAAAAATTGGTGAAAGACACAGGTGGTGAGCACCCATTTATTATTTTTAATAAATTTTTTTATCATATAATTTAATTACCACCATCGGGCGTACACCGTCCGGCACACCATCGTGGTGAGAGTGAGGGCACTCTGCATACAATCAAAAAACTCATTTCAAAGAAGGAAAAAGTTTATATAAGGATGCAATCTTATAATATAGAACTACGAATGCCCCTAAAAAATCAATCAAAAAAAGTAGTTTTAATCTTGAAAAACCCTTTGATTGATCATCTCGACGTCAAGATATATGATTATAAAAAATAATAAGATTTTAAGTCTCAGAAATAATCCATTTTACAACATATTATCTACACCGTCCATTTTCAAAATTTTCATATGTTTATAGATTTACTTGATTTTAACCATTTTTAAAATTTACAATTTTATAATTAGATGTAAAAATAGATTTTAAGATATTCCTAAGAACATTTTACATCAAAACTATATACCATGATAAAATTTGAAAGGGCACCTTATCTCTACACCTACGATGCATCCATATGCCAACTGCAGCCTTATACTACTGGCATATCGTGTATCGTAAAAAGGGATTCTATACACCAAACTTTCCCTAAATTTATCAGCAGCGAGCATATATATGAATTGTGGACATAGAATCCATGGCATTTTGAGCTCGTTTTATTCATTCAAGCCCAAGAGAAGATAGCACAAGAAATGGTTTTTCATGGACGTCTAGTTTAGTTATAGGGATTTGTATCAACTGATCAAGTAATTCCACAAAATAAGAACAAAGAGAAGAGCTTTATTGGTATTTATGAATTTCCCAATTACATGAACACAGGGAAAGAGAGAGAGAGATTTTCTCTTTTAACTTTACCTTGGGGAAGCTGGAAACAGGGAACTAGTAGTGTATGGCGGCCTCAAATAACCATCAGAAACCATAAACAAACTCGCATCTTCTTCCTGCTCATCTCTCTCTACAAAGCTCCAAGTTTTGGGCCTATCATCCCAAGTCTTCAAAGTCTGAGGAATGGGTTTCGCCAAAGACTTGTCCAAATACATGGTCCACTCGGATTCACAGGTACTGCTACACTCTGAACCTCCCATTTTCTCTCTCAACAATATGTGAAGCTTCTCATTGAGACTTAGAACTTGGAAGCCATAGAATGGAAAGGGGTTTCAAAGAGACGGTTTATCAGGAAAAGAGAATCAAAATCATCCCAAATCTCATATCCTTTTGCCTTTACACTTCCATTTTCATCCTCACGTTATCTCACTACTGCAAGTAAATCAAAACCGTCATTACTAAGTAGAGAAGTCTCTCACTCTGGAACTATCTTCTCTCTCTAAAAATATGTTTCTCTCTCTAAAAATCTCACATGGATGGGTAAGAGAGATGAAAGGGGGCTTCACATGCAATACAGCAAGGCAGTGTGTACCTCTAAAAACAAATGCAGCGGCACACCCGTCCATTATTTCTGTTTTCACGAAGGTTTTAATAATTATAAAAAATTTGGAGTACATTGCCACAATGGTCATGACTGAGTGCTTGTGGAAATTATCCAACATCGAAACTTTAATGGAAGAATTGCATGTATAAAGTGCTTGTGGAGGGTGGACAGACGCCTGATGTGGTAGAAGTGTTGAGACGCGTGCACCGTGGGTGTGAGACTGCGGCTGTTAAATGTTCCTATGAAGTAATGTGGGTTGGACATCGTTGGCGTCAAGTGAGCCATTAAAATTTTTAAAACATTTCGAGCTTACCAGTGGGTGTGACATCGCGGGCATCAAATGTGCCATTAAAATTTTTAAAAAATTTCGAGCTTACCATTTCCCGTTGAAATCGCTCGTCACTGGAGCAAATCGGCGAGTTCATCACTGTAGTGAATCGAAGAGTTGTCGTTATGACTCACTGCTCGATTTCCATAACTCGTCAATTCGCCGCTTGATTTTCGGTTTTGAGCGAGAAGCAGCACAAGATGGCCGATTTGCCACTCGATTTCTGGTTATAAGTAAGAAACGACACGGGATGGCCAATTCCCGGATTGAATCAGCCGATTCCGTGCCGATTCAGTGACTTTTAAACTACTGGCAAAAAATTTCATCCAATTCTCTTGGTTCCACCCTCCCCAGTTTTGGAGA